CCTACTCTTAAGCCTAGGTAGCTTCTACCTCGTTAATAAGTTAATCTAACTTACCCTCAAATTTAAAGTTAATATTAATATCATACCTAAACAGCAGTAAGTTATATATATCCCACTATATATCTAACTATATAAATTCACCCTTAACCTGTGAAATAGGCTTAGTTAGCGTGAGCAGGTGTTATAGTAAGCCTAGCAGTATATTAGTAGTTAGATTGATCACTTTAATGCTAGTAGGCTTAATAAAGTTATACTTAAGCGCAGTAATAGCGCAGCCTAAGTAGTAGTAGTACTAGGTGTTAGATTTATATATATTGTTGTGTTTAATAGCTTTAAGGCCTTCTTAGGTAGCTGTAGCCCTACTGAGGGTAGGTAGCGTAGTTAATAGTAGTGTAGGTAAGGCTTCTGCTACCTTAATAGCAGCCTCAAATTCAAAATAGCTAGTATTACGCTTAGTAGATATATTAGTTAGTAGATCAGCAACCTTCTTAATAATATAGCACTAACCTTTAGCCCTAACTTCAAGGAGGTTAAATAGGATAGGCTTACTAGTAGCCTCATAAGGGCCTTATAGCTAGAACTAATATAGGTAAATCTTCTTAGGCAGGACCTTACAGCCCTCTACCTTATAAAGCTAGAGGATGTAGCAGCAGAGCAGTCTAAAGGTCTTATTAATTAGGTAAGGCTTATAGTTACCCTTAAGCTTAAGCCATAAGCTATTTTAGCCCTTAGCTAGCACCTTAGCCAGCTTGTTACATAAGTGTCAAAATGCCTTATAACAGAGATAGCGCTAAATCCTATTAAATAAGTTGTTATATAAGTCGCTAGGTGCCTTACCTTTTTAGGTGAGTATATAGTTACTAATCTCTTAATCCTACGCCTACCAGAAAAGCATAAGTTTCTAGAATATATTCTTAAGGTTACTAGTATAGCAACAGATATATAGCTTAAGGGCAGCATAAGATAACTTAATAATTAACATAGTAATATAGCTAAAGTAAGTAATCTAATTAGTCTAGTACGCCATAAGCTTCTTATACTAGGGCATAACCTAGGTAGAGAGGATGTAGTTAACTATAGCATTAAGGTAGTCGCTATTCTCAAACGCTACTTTTCGTTAGTTATATATATTAATAGTATCAGCACGCAAAAGCTAGTTCCAGTCATTAATAAACCACTGAAATTAAAGGTACCAAGTAACGCTACCATCATCATTCTTTGTAGCAGGAGAGAAGTAGCACCTAGTTTTAGTAAGAACGTTTATATTAACATACTAGTAGCAGAGAAGGTATAGCACATTATAGAAAGTAGGGCTAGCGTTAAATGCTTTAATAAGGGTAAGTTCACAATCCATACAAATAACATATAGGTATTTAATATCAAACTCATCAAGTAGGCTAGTAAGGGCACTCACCACCCACTTATAGTTGCACTCCTTCTCACTAGATAAAAAACAGAAGGCAACTTAGAAGGCCTTACTATCATTAGTAGCGCTATATACATTAAAAAGTGGCATATTAAAGCGGTTAGTCTTATAGGTCAAATCCATCAACAGAACATCTAGGTAGCACTTAAGGTAGCTAACTACTATACAAGAGGCCATAAAGAGGGCAGTAATATAGCCCTCCTCATCCTTCTTAAACTTAAACCAATACTTATCAGCATCTTATAGTTAATTAAAAAGCCACTTAATTAGTATACACCTAGCAAGCTCTTAGCAGCAGTAGCGCACAAATAGGTTAACAAGGTCTTAGTAGGTAATAGAGGTAAAATCAGGGCCCTTAAAGCGTATAGTATTAAGTATTTAGATAGGTCAGTTGCTACAGTTCTAGAGATCAACAATTTAGGCAGATTTTTCTTAAAGGAGGGGTCAGCATGCATAAGCGTAGTACGTAGCACTAAAAAACTTATAGTTATAATAGTTACAGCCCTCACGCAGTACTTTGTATATAAAGTAGTCGTTAAGGCGTTAATTATATTAAATAACAACCTACTATAAGTAAGTAGTTATGCAAGAGGAACCCTTCTGCTACTTCAACATATAGACGTACTCTCATGCTTACTATACTTTAACCCTATTATAGTAAGGCGTATAAGCACACTAGTAGAAGGTCTTAAGGCTGCTATAATAGGTAATACACACTTAGAAGCTAGTAGTAAGGCAGGTAGTAAATAAGGCTTCTTCTGTAGCAGCTTTTTAAGGGAATCTTTTGCTTAGTATAGGGCACTGCTAAGAGGTAAGAGGGCAGTCGTTATAGTTAACAGTATAGCTATAGGTAAGCCTTAGGTTAACGTTAGCAGGGGTAGGCGTATTATTAATGTTGCTCTCAGTAGAGAAGTCATTAAGAATGATGGGGTTAGTAGTAGTGCTACTACTGCTGCTACTAACAGCCTCTACAGAGCCCTCCTTCTTAAACTTAATCTCTTCTTATGAAAACATCATAATAGCCTCAAAAAGTGGTTAGCAGCAGTAGGATTAATAGGCAGTAGATAATAATACTAAAAATTTAGTGGTAAGTAGGGTAGAAGGCTAGTGTTGGAGTCTGGGCAAAATCAAGCTACAGATGGGGTGCGCTGGCTAGTAGGAGGGGTGCGCCAATTACCGTGGCCCTTGGCTTTAGGGTGTCAGGTCGCTTTCGGTTTCTCAGTCTTTCGGTGCCATGTTCCGCAGGTAACAGTTCTCGTCAAGGCTTCTTGACAACATCATCAGAAGCTCATGGCGGCGGTATTGTCGGAAAAGTCAACTATCCCGACTCAATGCTGTCTTTTCCGCCAGTTCGGTCGCCAAGGCGGGGAACGGGAGTGCCGTCGGCCCAAGTTGGAGCGCGAAACTGGGCCCCCTTTGCAGGGCATCGCTTCCAAAAAATGCTGATGGAGGGGTTCAGCCCCAGCGCGCCTTTCTTTCTCTCCACTGAGGGGTCCACGTTGACGGAGTTGAGCAGAGTCTAGACACCACCTCCAGTGCTAGGAAACAAAACAATGGAAACTGATCAATTCCCAGCCTGCCGACCGGAAATCCCGGGCACAGCCGGGGCTCGATGTTGCCTCCCAGTTGACGTGCGCTTCCAACATTGACGTCTAAATGCTAACAATTGTCCTCCTTCCTCTTTGTCTCTTCTCTCCCACGCGCTCCCACGCTTGACGTCGATTCCTCTTACGCATTGAATTGCGCTGATTCGCGACCGCCTCGCATGGCAGGGGTGTTACAGCACGAGCCAAAATAAAAATGAAAATTAGCAGCTGGCGTGAGATGCGCCCGGGATGACGAGATGCAAGGCAACATGGGCGAAACCGCGACTCGCGAGTTGGCGCGCATGTTTGGTACCGAGATGTTCAGCGTTGTTCTGTCATTTCGGGGATCGAGCCTTTTCCTTCCCATCACTTTTTGTAAAGGATGATCCCCGTCCATATTGATTCCTTTTTTGTTGTCAATTGCACTCAATTCTCTATCTCATCTTTTGACGTCTAGACCTCGGCCAAATCCTCTTTTTTCCCTTCTCTTCGTCTATCTGTCTGTGCACATGTGACGTGGGTCACTTACGAGGGTTCATCCAGGCTCTGGCAGATACCTTCACTGCAAAAAACAATCGTGCGCAGATTTGATATGAGATGAACTTACAAACTTTCTCTCCCAAAGCCCGCGGAAATTCCTGATTCCTCCAACCACTCTGAGACCATCCTAATTGCAAACTATCCATAACTCTAAAGCTCCCTTCACCCAGTCAGGATCTAACGGAACCATCTCCGCGGGCAAATCGCACGTCCCGTCTCCCCCTGATTCCTGACTCTCGACTGCCGGCCGCCCGTCTGAAATTTTGCGTACCGTGGAGCGAGTGGCCAAGCACCTAGCACCTAGACATCAGCTGCTTCCGGGGGAGTTTCGCCCGCCGGCAACCACCGGCGGCGGGCTGGGTCACGCTTGGCGCTGTTAGCTGGGCTGAGTTAGTTTGTGACTTGTGACTCGTGAGTAATTAGTGAGTTGTGTGCGTCGTTGTCCTGGGAGATCGATCGGCTTGGGCTGGACCTTTTCTTCAACTGGCAAAGGGGGCATTGATCTGCGGGCGGTTTGGGTGATTCAATTACTGATTGAGCGAGAATTGCTACGGGGTTTGCCGGTCGATTTGGGGTGGTGGTGGTGGTGGCTTTGTTTGGGCTGAGAAGCGGACGGGGGGGATGCCGATGTGGGGACGAGGCCGGTCCGAGGGGTTTGGTGTGGTTGAACGTCCCGGGGCGCTGGGACATTGCGATCTTTGGTAAGTTTGAGGCGTTGGCGGTTACGTTAATAATGCGACATTTTACAATATCCGGTTTACCATTTTCCAATATTGTCCAGGCCGAGATTCCTGTGTCGGCACGGCAATTGTAGTCATTGGCGCCGTCGCCTGTCACTCTCATTCCTAACATTATTGTTGTCTTCCAATTGCTATCTTCATCTACACTACTACCGTCGTAACCACTACAAGTTCCCGTCCTTAATCAAATTATGGTTTCAAATAAATTCAGTTCATAGGAGATAACAGAATATCAACAGGTCTATTAGAAAGATAAGGGACCTTGACTTTCCAACGTAGCATGCCCTTCGTGAATTTGACATAAAACTCAGCTTAGAAATACACTTTATATGCCAACACTGAACATGCTCTTTGGCGATGCTAATCTATTGAATAAGAAAGCATGAATTCTTACGATCTAACTAGGCCCCTCTCAGAAGGCAACCAAGTTTACTACGAAATATCAGTTCCATTGCAAACGCTGAGCATGGCAGCTTGACGCGTGTTTCTACCATGTCCCTCAGCTTTCAACTATCCTCAGATAACTCTGCCCATCAAAAGTCTTCTCGCCTTTAAGCCCCCGACTGGAGCTTTTTTGGTCGGATTTCCACCAGTGAGGCGCCCGTTACTTTGAACGAGCCTATAACACCGATTATTGACGACCATGTCGTTTACACAGCTATGTCGTCACCGGGGATTTCTCTTCTAATTCTAATGGCAGCCTTTGCTTCAAGGTGCCTGGGAGTTTGGAGTGTTGTTCCTCCTTCTGTGCTTGGTCTTTGATGCGTCTGGCTGAGGCTCTGGTGATTTTGTTGGGGCCGGAGACGTTCGGCGCTCCAAATTAATCACAGGAGGCTGACCTGTTGAAGAAGGAGGAGGCGGAGGAGGAGGCTTCACCCCTGACGGAAACAGTAGCGTCGGTGGTAACGGGGGTCTTGGTGGTGGCGGGGGCATCAATTTCTCCATCGGCCACATTCGCATCTCAATGACGAAGCCTGGTTTGACAAGGTCACTCCACAGGCTAGGTAACGCGATGGTCCCATTTCTGTTCACCAAACATAGATCAAAGTGCCCCTTCAGTACATGCGGTCCAATGACATCCACATGCAAGAATGCCTCTTTGAGCAGATTGTGTACACCCTATGATGCAAGATTGACAGAGTCAGTAGACGTCATGCGACAAGCAGTAGCTGGCGAAGAACTTGAATAAGAACTGCGACGTACCTCCCAAGTCTTAGCTTTGTTATATGGAAATGTAAACCTTCTTCCCACAGCATCTTTCAAAAGTACGCTCTTCTCCTCGTTTTCTGGCATAGCTGGTACGAGAGGAGCAGCTCCCTTGGCCTGCTCCTTACTTTGTACACCTTGGATGTCGTCTTTTGTTCTACTTTGTATACCTTGAATCTCGTCCTCTGTGAGGTTCGTCCATTCAGCCAGAAGCTCGTTGACAACGGCCTTACACCCTGCAGGCTTCTGGAGGGTTGTGCCGAGACTTGCGAGCTGAAAATCTGTTGAAGCACCGGAATTCTTCAATTCCCCGGCTTCAGAGTCGTCTTGAGAGTCAGATCCAAGGCCACTGTCTGCTTCCAAGGATTCTGCATAGGGCGAGAAAACAGTGCGATACAGCCATGCCGCCGTGTCGTTTTGCCCGCCATTCCACAAAACCATTTGGTTCTGCGCTTTTTCTGTTGAAGTTGACTGATGCTGGTTTTCATCTTCCGAGCTAAAGCCGGTTTCTTCTATAGAAATGGTCGCGGCTGTTGCGAGCTCCCGGAGAGACTGGAACGAGGATTCGACGGTATTCTCAGCCTGATGACGGGCGAGATCTCGGTCGACTTTGATCTCTTCCTCCGCCACATTTCCTTGGCTACTATCCAAGAGGTTAAACCTTCCTTTGGTCAGCTGCTTATCCGGCGTGATGTCGATGACCTCAACTTACCCATCTGCTAGGCGAATCTGAACGGCGAGCATCATAGTCTGCAGGACCATGTTGATTGCACTCTTGTGTGCTTCAATCTGATACAATAGCTGAACGCTGGTCGACCGACGAAAAGCCCATTTGAGACGTCCGACCCCGCTTCCGATGTCTATCAGATCGCTGATGGAGCCATGAACCCTTTTTGATTCTCTTCATTGCCGAGCGAATGTTTCTTAGCAGTTTTCGTCGATAAAGAGAAGTGCCTTCGCGAAGTACTCGTCGCAGCTCGCTCAGAATGATCGAAAGATCGGCGATTCCCCGGGCGATGTCAGCTACCTCCTTCGGCGCGCCACGAGTGGAGGTAATGAGTTCGTAGATCGCCTTGGAGAGCGAGGCTCCAGCTTGGGATATCCCAGCTATGCTTGCGATCAACGATAGAGGATCCATGATATCCTAGGAAGTCGCAGTGGTGAAGAAGTCGTGAGATGGGTATGTGACACTTGACATAAATGCAGTACGAGGTATTCTCGTGGTGAGCCAGGGCGTGTGAGACCATTCCTCGCGGGGTATCTGTGTGACAGTGAGTGAGCCTTGCCGTAAGCCTACTAACTCTTGGGAGGCCTGCAACTGTAGCATGATGTATCGCCGGCCAATGAGGCCGGGCGGCTGGCAAGCGGCGCAGCGCGGATGCGTGCCGCAGCACTGGGAAACCTCGAGGCGCTCTCACTTTATTCAGGCCACTTGAAAGCATGCCATTCCACATATTTCAAACCATCACACACAATTTTTCCGGGTCTTTAGAACCAACCTTCAGGTTTTGAGTCGTTAGGCCTCACAAAAGTTCGACGTCACGAAGCGAGAGTTGTGAGAGTTAGAAAACAAAAAGATGCGCCGAGGGGGAATCGAACCCCCGGCTCCCCGACGCTGCTTGATGGCAACGGAGAATTTTACCACTAAACCATCGGCGCTGTGATGATGTTCTGTCGTTGTGGACGTGGTGGGTAACGACTCTGGCGGAGACCATCTTGTCATGCCTGGGGTGAGTCGTTGTTGTGGGGATTGACGGTTTAGATTCGCCTTTTCGCACAGATGGTTTCCCTCCTAAGGTAGTCGCTGATCATGAGGCCCAAGCTCCAGTTTTGAGCGTGTTCTCCCAGGAAAGATTCTATAAGACAATAGAGGAAAACACCAAGTTAGGGGTTTTCCGGTCTCGTGGGCTATCGGGCTGGGTTGGGAAGATACAGGCCTGACCGGTAATCGTCTAGCTGTCGCCAAGTGGCCTGATATCTTCGACATTGGGGGTTGCTGGGGGGTGTTGTCACTACGACGAATCAGGCAGCCAATCTTCATGGTCTTCTGCATCTTTCATGCGGATGTGTGTGGCTTTTGGAAGCAGGCTGTGCTGCAGGCAACGTTAGCTACGCGCTTCTTTTGGCTGACATGCATAATGACGCCGACCCCTCATAGAAGGCACTTAGCATCTTGCTTCCAACGCTCATCTAAGGTACTCACAGGTTTACTCTCATGGTCCTGTCGCAGTTTGCTTTGCGAAAGTTCTTTGAATGTTTCCTACGTCCACGGTCCACCAACGGCTACTATCGATTGCGAGACACTACAGTCATCGAGTGCGGCCCGAATTATTGTAGCCGATCTACGGGCCATGGATCCCTTCTCAGCAGCCACCGGCATAGCTGGCCTTATATCCTTGGGCATCGAGGTTTGCAAAGGTCTGAACGCGTACTGTCGGGAATATCGGAGCAAAGGCAGCGAGATCCTGGCCCTCAGTCAACATGCAAAAAGATTGGAAGCTTTTCTTCACATGATCGAAGGCCGTATGAAGGAAAAGTCGCAGGTCGACCAACCTCTAGCAGCGACATTCGAAGATTGCCATGTCACATGCACCATATGCCTGCAGGAATTCACAGCGCTGAATACTAAGTACTCTCGCCCGAAAGCTCCTTCCGGTCTCAGACAACAGGGAAAGGCATTCGTACGACAACTTCAATTTCCATTTCAAAAAGACAAATTCGATAGTATCAAGTCCCAGATGCTCGAATTCCAAAACGCTCTCTCTACCTACTTGCTTTTGCTGAACTAGTATGTCTCAACACTAAATGGGCGTGGAGTCATCTTAACAGCTTAGTAGTGACCGCACGACGGAAGTTTTTCACTCTACAGTCTCAGAGGCTGCCAAGATTTCATCTGCTATCATCTTACAGGGACAAAGAACGACAGACCAAATATCTTTCTTGCTACCCCAGATAGATAAGAGCATAGACAATAGATTGAGCCGATTGGAACGATTGGTTTTAGCGCGCCCCGACAAGGAATTACAGACGACTTGCCGTCTTGTCCAAGGACAAGACGCAACAGTTCGAGCGGAAAACCCGCACAATTTGAGCAACAATGGCAAGACATTTGATCGCAGTACACAGTCAACCAAATACTCTTTATCTGAGGCCGATCTTACAATGGGATCGTACTCCCAGAAACATCAGCAGGTCGGAGAAAGCAATACACCAACGCTTTCAAACTTCGTTTGCAAATGCAGATATAGCATTCGAAACGTCCGCCCTGGCTCTCGAAGACCCGAAATACTGAAGCACGAAGAAGGCTGTCCCGTTTCCTTCCTCAACAAGAGAAGTCGAACGATATGTGGCGAGATCAGGGCTTTCAGCACTCTTTTTCGTTGGAAAGTCAGCGTCCGCTATTCCCAATTCTTTATGAGGGATTTTCAGGTACAACCCAATTTCACACTGACAGCGGTTGTTGGTGATTACAGTCCTGCCTTCCAACTCATAGAATCTTTGAGAGATATAGACTGGACAGTGACAGAAAGTGAGGCGGGAGCGAAATTATCAATGATAGCTCATGGGTTGCGCCAACTTTTTTTGGATCACAAAGCTTGGCCAACAGACATCACGGAAAAAGAGCAGAATGTTCTACACGTAAGTGAACCCTAGTATCGCATCTAATTCCATTTCATTAAGTGTGTCCCAGAGGGCTTGCTCCGTCTTTACGTCCTGTCGTTGGCCTAATAATAGAGCTCATCTTTTCATCCAGCTTGTGGCAACGTTGGTGTCAATGGGTGTTCCCATCAATGGAAGGGCAAGAATCGCGTAAGCATGCCGAAAATTTATCTAAATCGTCACGAAATAACTGACTGGCATGCTCCAAAGTACCCCTTTGTGGTGGTTCTTGTCGTATCGTTCACAAAAAAGCGATTATGTTGATGACTATGTTGTAGGTTCGGGTTTCATTGCCCGAGAACTAATCTTGCGAGACGCGGTCTACGAAGGGGAAGACGATGATGGTTGGGTTTCATCATGGATTCTCCCAGGCCTGTTTCCATCTCTTGGAGACACCCTCCATTGTGCGTGCATGATACGTTTTCCTTACACACTTTGGATGTCTTGACTCACATTCTCAAAGGCTTCGATTACGGCGAATTATCATCAGCTTTGATTCGAAGGTCGGAAGCAGATGTTCGTCGGCTATTAAGCCAGTCAAGAGATCATGTCCTTGAACGGGGCCATCATAGACATACTCCACTGCATCTATCCGTTTGTTGGCCTTTGGGCTTGAGAATTCTGTTCGAATTGGCCAATGATACATGTGTGTCGATCATTGACGCGACAGACTCAGCGGGTCACACACCGCTGCAACATGCCATCTACTGGGCCAATGCCGAATCAGTTGCGCTTTTGCTCGAGCAGAATGCGACGGTGAGTTTGGAGGACACGTCTGTCTATGTTCCCTTTCTCGACGTCGAGCGCACCAGATCAAAGCGAAGGGAGACTTACGACCTTCTGACGAGGGTGCTTGTGGACCGCAGAACAGAAATGCTTCGGTACGCTCTCGAACACCTTCCCGAATCAGAACTGGTTCGTCTCAACCTGCGCAACATGACGTTCCTTAGAGACACCGCATTTGAAGTTGTGGGGTCTTTCAAGCGCAACCTAGTCCGCCCGCCAGCAATTTTCAAGAACATAAGGCCTGGTTCCTTGTATCATGCGCGCTATATGGACGACATCCTGGCAGAAGCTTTGTTCAACGCCGGTTTCGACAACATCGATTCCTTCTGGAATGGGTATACACCGCTCATGATTGTCGACAATTTCAGTTTTCGCCGTTACGTAAGACTTATCAACTGGTTCTGTCAAAAACAAGCCAGTTTGCTTGCAGTCATCCCTAATATTTCACCATCGTCGTCGACAATTCCTCCTCCAGAGTATCTCGAATTTCGCGTAGTACATCGCGTCGCGAGCATTTTGGGAGATCACACAGCATTCAGACAGCACAAAGATATGGCTGTTTCTTCAATTCAGTCCCAGTACACTCTACTACTGCGAACAGTACTCTCGGAGGTGTGTCGAGACCCCTGCCAATGCTACTGTGCGCCTGGGGGCTGCTGCTCAACCTCTTTGTATACGAAGACATGGTACGGGCCTCAATTTAAACTGCCACCTAGAATTGGGACGCCATTGGAAGACTTGAACATGATACTTGACCTCTTCTCTAAGCAGGAATACAATGTTCAGGCAGCCTTTGTTCGAGTGTGCACTTTCGATAGGCTGGGAATGCGTCATACCTGCTGTACACATGTCTTGTTTCCATGTCCATTTGAGAGGCTAGAGTCACGAGCTCCCCTTGTCACATTAATGGATCCTATGGAAGTCAAGGAAATTCAAGAGGAGGACCGATATTTAGTAAGAGCTTTGGAGGAACTCATGATCGAATTCAAGTCAAAGCTACGGGATAGGCCTCAGTCCTTTCGTGATTTCTGGAAATGGTGGAACAAACGAATGGACGAAATAGATGCGGAGAAAGATCCAATTCCGGGTGAGGACATTAAGGCACTGGTCGATACTGGTGTTCATCTTGAGGTATAATCAGTGATTATACCCTTGTAAGAACACGGACTCAAGGAACAAGTAAGAGTTTTGCCATCCGGGCAGATACTTCTGTCTAGTCGGGAGAATAACTGCCCATGTGATCTCCAATAGTCATTTTTCTATTGTCAATAGTTTGTTCTTGCTTCCTTCTCTAAAGCGCTTACTCTCGCTCTTCGTGTTATTGTCATCCCTATTTCCGCCGTTGTCCATGACATCGTCTGTGCCTTCTATTCGCCCGGATGGCTAATCTCGCAAGGAAAGCCACTATGGATGTTCTCATGCTTGCCGGGTGATTTGAAATCTTGTCTCTAGATCTCTGCATAGATGATATTGCTTTGATTGCCGTGGTTGGTTCTGCAAAAAGAGGACTTGATTGACGTCCTCCTTTGTCCTCGACAGCGCCTACCTGCATGGAGTTTGTGGCAAGCTTTTATCCGAAATACTTCGTTATTCACAAGAAACTCAAGGTGGTGGCTTTTTCAAAGGACGATTATATCCGAAGCCCTCGATGCGATCTTACAAACCTGGTTGACCGAGATTGTCCCATGGCTCAAGCTTCGGATCGTAACATTACCGCCTGTGAAGGTTTACCGGTGGGATGAACTCTTTCAAACCCCCTTGCAACAACTACCACAGATTAGAGTTCACGGAGTTCATCACATTAATGCCCACCCCAACTCCCTCTCCCCTCTCCTCCTTTTCCCAACTCAACCCAACCTCAATCCCAACATTACCAACGTCGTTCACGATGGTCGCGCTCATCCTCACCCTTCTCCTCGCGACCTTCGTCGCGGCCGCGCCAGGGAAACTCGGCGTCGTCGTCGCCCGCTTCAAAGAACCCCTCGACCCCTGGGCGCCCCATTCCAACCTCACCACAATCTACGCCAAAGGCAACGTCCCGCAGGAAAACGACACAATCCAGCACTCCTCCTTCCGCTCCTACGTCCCGCTCCCCAACATCGGCCGCGAGGGCCACACGCACCTCTTCCACATCGCCACAAACTACGACACCCTCGACGACGTCATGATCTTCACCCAGGCGGACCCCTTCGACCTCCTCGCGCCTGCCGCCACGACCCCGGACCAGATGATCGAGATGGCGCTGCAGGTCCCCGCCGACGACGTCACGCCCTTCAACCCGACCTTGTTCCACGACGTCGCGGACTGGACCAAGATCGACTGGAACAGCTCCAAGCAGGCGCTCTGGATCACGGAGAGCCAGAAGAAGACGCTGGCGCTGGCGCCGTACACGCCCGGGCAGTTCTGGACCAGGGTGGTCGGCAGCCGGCACCCGCCTGCGATCCGGGCGATGCACGGCGGCACGTTTTCCGTGAGGCGGGAGACGATTCAAAGGCTTCCCAAGGTCGTTTATCAGAAAGCGCTGGATGAGTTTGAGAAGGCAAACTCGAGCAATCCTGAGATTGGGTTCTTCATGGAGAGGATGTGGGCGCCGATGTTTTCGGACAAGTACAGGTTAGGGGCGGTTGACAATCCGTGAGGGTCCATGTAATGCTAGCAATGCAGAAAAAGAAGATGAGGACAAAGTGGAACTAAAAAGAAATGATCAATCAATGTGCGACAAAAAGGCAAAAGAAACTCCTCGACGGGGAATTGACCCCCGGTCCCCGGCGCATTGTGTTCAATGAAAAGCCGATATCCTCACCACTAGACTATCGAGGATGTGCTGATGGAAATGACGCAAAGTTTGCAGATCATGTACCCCGCACGTAGAGGTGGGGCGCTCATGTCGGCCGAATGTCCACAACCACCAACGCGGTCATTAGTCGTAGGCGCCTTCCAATTGTATTCAGTAATTTCATTGAGACCGCCTAAAATTCCTGTGTCTGCGCGGCTATATTTTCTGTGTATTTAACTACTCCTTTCGGAAACGATAATAGCGATGACGACGACAACGACAACGACAACGATAGAAACGACGACAACGATAGAAGCGACAATGATAGAAGTGACGACGGTAAGGTAGAGTATAACCACAGCAAGAGTAGTCAGTATAGCACAAGAAAAATAGGCGGTCTCATTTCATTAAGTGCTTCAAGCCTCTAAAGGGAAGCAATCATTCTCCTTGTGAATGCACAGTCTTTGTCGCCAGCCGAATGCCAATCGCTCCACCCCAACGCCGATGCAAACTCCATCCCGATGTTACTCCGCTTGCCTAAACCGGCACCGCTCTCTCTCATGAGTATCTCTGTACCATTTTGTGGTTAACTGTTTCGTGCAAGGAAAGTTCCTGCACTGGTAAGGCTGTCTCTTCTCGCGCGTGAACGCACACCCCTCGCGGATGTGCTTGTTGCGGTTGCTGACGCTGGAAAACGTCTTGGTGCACTGCGGCGTCGGGCACGGCAGCCTGGTGCCGCGTATCATGTGGTCGCGCGACGACTGCCTGGAGGCTGTTGAGGCGATGCTACTGCAGAGGCGGTCAGCGCTGTTCGGTCTGGGTACCAGTCTCGACCATAGGGACATACCTGATGCTGGATGACGAGACGTTGCGGCGCGTGCCTAGCGTGTTCAAGGAAGAGAAACTGCTGTTCGGGGTGATGCCGGCTTCTGACCCGTATGCAGGTGATTGTGGAACGATGGATGGAGTGGCTGATTGGAAAGGGTCTGGCTTGGGTGTGACCAGGACATTGTGCATCGCGAGGTACTCTGCCAGCAGGGTATATGAACGGGCGTATCCGGGAAGGGTCCCGGAGATGGTTTGGAGAATGCGGGTTGTCGAGCCGTGAAGACCTGCGATGTTGTTAGCTCTGTGGCTATCAAGAAAGTTGAGTTTCGCTCACCGATCACCAAAGAGAGAACAACAGAGAATGCGACCGAGGCCAACAACATCATGGTCGAGGAGAGCGCATCTTCCCAGCTGTTCGGGAGTGCAGGCGGCGTTCTCGAACCCCCTCTCGCCATCTCCTCAAAGCGGTCCATATGGAGGAAGTCTGCCCACGTGAAATCGTCTTGTTGCGTCGATGAGGTCGAATGAGCTACAGACCGCGGTGGAGACCGACCTGGGATGGCCTGACCTTGGGCGACCCCTTGCCGGCTTTCATGCGTCTCAAAAGCCCTCTGGATGGCAGCAAGTCTGCTTCCGGAAGCCGAGCTTCGCGATGGGGCAGCTTCTCTTCGTCTTTCAAGCGCGAGAAGGCCTTGTACGAGTCCTTGAAAGTGGTGTAGGTTTCCGAGATCAAGGTCACTTGATGGTTCGTCTGCTGGAGTGAACTCCCACAATTCGTGTGCAACCTCATCAAATGGTAGGACAGACGAGATGGGAAGAACTGAGCGCCACTTGTTAAGATCGTTGCAGAACCTAAATTCATGTTAGCATCATCACTTGGAGGTTTCCCCACTTCAGCGAGCCATTCTCGGTGTCGTTAACGTACTGGTTGAAGATGACCCCGTCGTTCTTGAAAAACGTGAGGCAAATGGCGTTTCCCACCAATAGAGAGTCGACAACTTCGCCCAAAGCCGATGGCGGGCTGTCTTGCATTAGGCCGCGGAAGACATCGATGCCACGATACCAAACGCCGTCGCCATCCATGTATTCGTCTTCCATGTCTTGCAACTCGTCGTAAGTCGAGCGGCTGCATACGTCTCGCAGCTTAGAGCACAATTCGTGCATGTTCGTGACAAGATCGCGACCAAGCAAGTGTCTCTGACGCCGCGAGCCTTTGAGCTGCACGGGTACGTTTGGTAGATTTGATATCGGTCGCCGGAGGGGCCTCTCGGTTGATGTCGACATGCTCTGGTTGACCAACGGGTACGGCGAGAGAACCTCGTCCGCAGAAGCGAACCCTACAATGGGCTCAACGGCGTCTGGCTTGCTCACCGTGAAGCCAGCATAATGATCCATGAGACTAAGCTCTGCGAACGAGTTGACAGTGTCCTCCGGTAGGAGTTCTGCTGGTGGGTTGGTGACACCGGATGACAAGAGAATCTGCATGATCTCCGTGTCGTCGTTGAAAAGCGCAATCGCAGCAGCCTCTTGGGCACCATCAGCCATGATGTTGTGGCTTAGAATCAAGCGCACCATGTCGGCCTGGCCCCAGAAGGCAGCAGCCGAAAGGGGAGTGAGAACAACACCGCTGCCGGCCTCCTCGCCCTGGTAGACACCCAAGAAAGTGGCCCCTTGTTGGAGAAGTCCTCGGACGTGCTCTGAATGACCGAGCCGAATTGCCACATGCAGGGCATCGTGGGTTATATCCGACAGACATGGCCCTTGTTGGGTGTCATGTTTGTCTTTGGTCCGTGAGGCGAGATCAAGGACGTAGCGGTAAATGTCTAGACGGCCACAGTCCAGTAGCTTCAGAAGCAGATCCGGACTTGTCTGCCATTCAATCTCGCCGGAGCGCACGAATGGCTCACACAGCTCATGCAATGATGCGAGATCACCAGCAAGGGCGGTTTCGGTAAATCGAGCACACAGGCCTTCGAGGTAGTGGTCGGTGACTATGTCAGGTATGAGCCCGAGAGAAAAGCAGGAGTCTAGGTCATCCAGGCCTGCGTCGACGCTCCTCTGGTGCATATCATGAAGCTGGTTGATGGATAACAGCCCTTGTGACGGGTGGAGTTGAACGCCAACACCGGCATAGAGGGCTCTGTCTAAGAGGAGATCCCGGATGAGAAGGCGTAGTTCGACAGTGGTGGGGTGGGTTGGCGAGATGGTCTCAAGATGTTCTAAATGAGACTTGAGGGTGTTGTAGTTTGCCAAGAGAGAAGCAAAGTCGAAAGGGGAGGGGATGGCGATGGCGAGCGACTGCAAGAGGGATAGGCTGTGAACATCCAGCTCTATGGTCTTGGCCGGCCGAGACTTGGAGAGAGTGAAGGCCGGTTGAGGGCAAGGGGAGGAGTGGAGAGGCAGGTAGATGCCTGAGCCGGGTGAGACGGCTTGAAAGATTTCGCCGCTGTTGCCAAGCTGTCAGTTTTGTGGCTGGGATGCCGAGCCGTCGAGTCGGACTGTGCATTGGTGACGCTGCAACAGCGCAAGATGTTGGAGGTGAGGTCTCGACCTCGGCACTTGCAGATCCCAAAGCAGGCAGTTTGAAGGTAGGTGTAACAGGCCCTTTCATGCTGTTCCCATTTCCCGAACCAATCCATAGTGTATTCGCAAAGAGAAGCCGCCGTGGGCATCAAACCCTCCGATATAAGATCGCAAGTATGAAGAACTATTTGCGTACCTTTCGAAGACTTCATTATAAGCGAAACAGGGGACGTCATCAATGAAGTCGTGGGTCCGTCGAGGGGCACTCCCTCCGATCCCGTTAATAGGCCATGATAGAGCACCTGAGTGCGATTTCAGGTCCTCATCAATGTCGGCAAGACGCAGGTTGAGGCCGAGAGATAACAGGGAAGCCATCTCGAAAGCCTAAGGCGACATTGGCGTATTGAAGGGGTTCCAAGGACGACGACGGTAAGGTTCACGTCAAATTAGTGGACGGAGGATGAGTGCATATCACAAAATGATAGAACAGGATCAGGTTCGGTGCCGTGAAATGTGTGTCAAGAAGCCGACAGACGGGGTTGATGAAGGCTGCCTGGAGCGTTCCGGCGCTGAGGCTGACTGAAAGGGGCCCCCGGAGGTGTGGTGGGGCCACGAGATTTAGGAATCGGCGGGCAGGTCACGCGGGGCACCGGCTTAGGGGCCTGGGGCTCTGGTTGGGCCGTCTGGGGTTCGCTCGGTATGCGTCGGTATGCACTGGGAGAGAAACGTGATGTCCTGCATATTCGCAACGAAGGGGACCGATGGCTGGCTTGTTGCTGGCGGACCTACACGAGCTCGTTCCGGATACAGCAGCTGGATTTCTCGGGATGGGCGCCCTTGGTTGCCTGGAGTTTAAGCATGTTCACACCGAGATTAGGAACATTGATGGAGCGTGTCGGCATGCATCTCTGTTCAGGTGATTGTTTGATGCGGCGATCCATTGATCTGAATTGGTTTGTTTACCATGGCATCGGGAGTTTCATGAAAAGAGAATGACCTGCAAAGATATGGTAGGGAGAGGGAGACATGATGATATTCACATGGAAAGAATCAGCATCAACACTGGTTCATCTGGAGGAGCAGGTACGTACCGATGACATGCTGACACATCTCGGGTGCACGTCTCCACCATTGAATTCGGCCCGCTCCCATTGGCCGACGCCTCTTAATTGAATTGTCCCCACGACGCGCTCGACGCGTCCCCTGCGACGCCGACACCCCAGCCAGACGCAGCATTTCTCTTCTCACCACCACCAGAACCATCGTCATCCTCGCCAACCCGCATGCCTAGATAACCTCAAGATGTTGAAACAAGACTACAACCGGATCGACCCCAAGCGGCGCAATGTCCTCGACCATCGCAAGAAGCAGTTCGCGTCGCCCACGTACAAGGAGGCCGAATACCCCCACCGCCTCAACTTCTACGCCGATGCGCCCACGGCAGACATCACCCTCGAGCAGTTTGAACAATGGGCGATTGACCGCCTAAGGAGTGCGTTGTGCTCTTGAACAATCCCCATCGCCCGCTGACATGTCTAGTCCTCGCCGAGCTCGAAGCCTGCGCCTTCCGCAACAAGTCTCCCCAAGAAGTCGCGAATCACATGAAGCCGCTGCTCGACAAGTACCTCCCCCTCGAATCGAACATGTCACACTCGCCGAAGCTCTTCTCCCAACGCCAAAAAGACCATTACAGTCACTTTATTCTCCGCCTGGCCTTCTCAAGAACAGAAGACCTCCGCCGCCGTTTCGTCCGCGTAGAGACCATGCTCTTCCGCCTGCGGCTTAACAGCGACGACCTGAGAGAGCGTACTGCCTTCGTAAAGAGCCTGAGTCTCGACTGGTGGGAGACTGTCACGGAAGAGGAGAAGACAATGTACGCTCAAGAGCTAAAGTCCATGTCACGCACGCGGGGCGCCAACGCCATGGATGACGACGACTGGTTCAAGGTCGACTGGGACCGTGTACCAGAACTTGTGGAGCAGCGCAAGGTGTTTTTGAAGAAGGGCAAGGCATTCGTCCCGGGGAGAGAACAGGCCAGCATGGTTGTTGGCGAATTCGTCTCTAGGCTGGAGAGGCAGCTGGAGGTATGCATCACCGACATCAGGCGGGAGACGAAGACTAACGTCAACAGCTCACGGCCCGCGCGCTCCCCCGTCTCGACGAGGACGACCGCCTCACCCCGATCCTCGACCACCTCTCCAAGAACTTCATCACCCCCGACAGCTCCTACAGCTCCAATACGGGAGCGCCCGTCGGCGCCGAGATCACCGCCCGCAACATCGACAACCTCGCGCAACACTTCCCGGCCTGCATGTCCCACCTGCACCGTTCCCTCCGCCGCGATGCCCACCTCAAACACTACGGCCGTCTGCAGTACACTCTGTTCCTCAAGGGCATCGGCCTGAACCTCGAGGAGTGCCTGGTCTTCTGGCGCCAGGGCTTCCGCAACATCACCGACGACACCTTCAACAAGGAATACCGCTACAACGTGCGCCACGTCTACGGCGACGTCGGAGGCGACTCGAACCGCCGCGGCGGCGGCTACAGCCCATTCAGCTGCCAAAAGATCCTGACCGAGCACCCTCCCGGCCCAGGCGAGGCCCACGGCTGCCCCTACCGCCACTTTAACCTCGAGAACCTCACGACGCTGGTACAAGCCATGGGCGTGAGCGACCGGGCCACGTTGAATGGAGTCAAGGAGGATAAAGAGAATCAGAAGTTTCATATGGCGTGTAATCGGTACGTGTCTCCGCTCAGCCAGCCCTATGCCCGATCAGCCGCTCTATTCACCCTGACTAACACATCCCTAGCGTGTTCGAGCACCTGCACAAGCAAGAACTCAAAAAGGCAAAGGACGAGGGCGTCTTCACTTCGGCACAACTCGAGACCATTGTGCACCCTAACGAATACTTTAAGCGCAGCTACCTGCTCAAGAACCTCGACAAGCAGGCGGACGTTAAGATGGAGGAGTGAAGGGAGCAAGGCATGCAGAGCAAGGGTCACGAGACGGCCCAAAATGCCAGAAGCTCCTGGTTCCTCAAGCTTTGCAGAAGCTTTGATTAAGCTCAGTCTGGCTCCGTGGGGGAGGAACGGCAAGCTTGCATTTGGACATTTGGACCTGACTAATGAAGGGTGGCTTGATGAAAGGGCGGGTTCCACGACGGTCTGGACCTTTTTGGGAGGCGTTGGATAAAACACTGGGCAAATGTCTCGCAGGATTACACTTATGAACATACAAGAGCCAGCCAGCAGCTTGGTTCCGTCTCTCTCACGGACCATGAGTATAATTCGGCGTTCAGGATTTGGAGGGGTGTATATGCAGCAACATGTTTTCCTTTTCTGACAGAGCAAGGACAAAGTCGACTGTGCGTACTTTGAGTTGTTTTAATGAGTTTCTCACGAGGCATGTTCCTTGCGGGCATTTGACATTTTCCACGTGCTCGTGTCTTGTTTCACCTCAAAATTTGAAGGAAGAAGAAAGGAAAGGAAAGCGCCAAGCTGCCAATCGTTTCCCGCATGGCCCTCTTCGGAACCGGCACGTCGCAGGAGATCTGGACTTTCCGTCGGCCGCGGAGGGAGAGAAACAGACAGACACACAATGGGGAGTGCCAAGGTGGGATCCGCCGTACATCGATCGGGGTCCGTTTCGTTCGGTTTCGTACCTCGGGAGGCTTGTCCTTATTTTGTTCCCATCGTTCTGAACCTTTTCAAAACCTCGGCTTCGGCGGGCGGCAGTTTGGGAGTTTCGTTCCGCGGACGGTGAAGGCGAAACGGACGGACGGACTGAGCCGCGGCCCTTTTTGGGGGAGAGGAGGGAAGGGATGGGGAGGCTAGAGACGGGCCGTTTCTGTTGAGAGAGGACTTTGTCTTTGCCGTCTGGGCGGAGGCAGCCAAGGACCTCGGATGGGTGAGGGAGGTTACTTGGAGTTGTGTGTTTGAGGCGGCATGCTGCTCGTTCGCTGGAAACACCGAGAAGGATACGGCAGGACTGCACACGGTTTTGAGTTACACGGACTTTCAAGACGGCAAGGGAGAGCATCAACAGCAGCTCTGCAGACGGAAGGTCTCGGCTTTGGGCAGGCGATGCGTATCACGGGAGTCTTTCCCGTCTGTGGCCTGCCTTCCTTCCTGCTTCTCCCGTGCCGTGCCTCTGCGGCACTTTTTCATCCGAAGAAACGTTGAGGCGCGGTTGAAGACTGATTTTTGTCCCTGGCGCTCGAATCGAGCGATTGCGGTGGAATCTGTTGGCTCGCATGGCGCTTTTGCGACTGGCGCGTGTTGCGCGCGTGCGCTCTCGGGCTGCGGAAGGGGGAAATCATGTGGGGAGATTGTGAAGTTTTTCGCATTGGACGGCTTTGAAGCCGTGTCTGCGATGGCGGAGGGCTGGAATGGGAGGCTGCGATCACCCGTGCGCTGGGCATTTGGTGTAAGTGAGGTGATGGGACGATGGGTTTGTTGGACGGCGGAGATGAGGGCTGCGCCTAATTACACGCCTCTTATGCAGAAGGGCACGGCTGAAGAGAGGGCATTCGCATGTTGCGGTATGTGGGCTCAGGTCTGAGTGTTGGTGTTGCGCGTGGTGAACAGCGAGTGTCCTGCAACATGCCGCGAACAGCAAGCACGTGTCTCTCACTCCCCGTCGCAGGCCTCTCTAGAACCTCAACCAGCTTAGGGCAATTTCGGAAAATCGAAAAAATCCAGCCCGCTGGAAGGCAAACCTACGATGAGCGGTGCCCTAAGGTTCCATCACTTTCCCCAGTTCCCCAGCCAGGGCGTTGTCTGCCGCGGTCATCGGCCGGTCTAGACCACCGTCAAAACCTCTCCAGGCCAGGTTTTGGAGGGAACGCGGGCCAGGGGTGGTCTAGACCCTTTGCATGGGCCTTGGTGTTCCTCCGGGCCCCTGGTCGGCCGTTGTGCTCTCGCGATGGACGGGTGCGGGCGCGGGCTGGGCCTTGATTGAATCTTGAACCGCCCGGGGTCCCTGTGCCTGAGATGAGGCGTTGCAGCGGGAAGGCAAAAAGCGAGAATGAGAGAGAGGGTCGCGATGGACGTCGTCGTCCACTGTGCCGAGGGTCGCCGATCGGAACGTATGGAATTGTCCCTGCGGTTGCGACTAGCTTTTTTGCTGTGGAGCTCAAGAAAGCTGAGGCTCTGTCTTGAGGCCGGTCTGGTCTGGTCTGGTCTATGGTCTTGAACCCCCGTTGCCCCATGATTTGCTCCATGCCACGATTCCGAAGCGTGCCCTGGCAGTCGAAAGGAACCGAGGGGGCAAGGCAGGTGGAAATGCTGGAGGATCTAGAACCTGGTGGTGTACCTGTATCCATCTGGGGGGTTCTCGAGCAGCTATTCACGATATGTCGAATATGCAGCAACCA